ATCTCTGATTCAATTTTAACCTTCTTCATTGTCCACTACACCACTTATGTTGGTGTCACTTACAAACTTACTAAGCATGCCACCTAAATTCACCTCCAAATCATTTATATAGATGAAGAACAATTCCTGAGGGCATTAAAAAACAGAGTGATGGAGAAATTCAGAAGGTCTGGTAGCATCTGTTATATGACTCTCAACTCTGATATGACTGTCTTTCACCACATCTAATCTCTTCCAAATCTGAATCAGACTCGAATGTTAACTCTAATTCTCTCTCCACAGATGCTGCAAGGCCTACTGAGATTCTCCAGTAATTTTCTGTTTTTATTTTTAGATTTTCAGCATCCATGGCAGTTTGTTTTTATTTTCCCAGAGCACTCGCCTAGATAACCAGATTACCAGTCCAGTGACAGTACTGCTACACCACTGCCTCCTGTTGGGATTGGACAAAAGACTTATCTCAATGTATTAAATACCATCTCTTTGTGCATAGTGCAATATATAAATTATTTAATCATAATTTTGTTCAGATCTTTAGTCAAAAAGGGCTAAAATATTCAATCATTTACTATTAATAGATTGCATATATTTCCAACAAATATGCTCAATTATTACAACAGACCAGAAAGATCAATGTTAGGTTTTTCATGGACCACAGAATCCCTACAGTGTGGAAGCAGGCCATTCAGCCCATCGAGTCCACACCCTGTAAAGAGCATCACATCCAAACCCACCCTCTACCTTTTCCTGTAACCCTGCATTTCACATGGCCAATCCACCTAACCTACATATATTTGGACTGTGAGAGGAAACTGAAGCACCCAGAGAAAACCCACGTAGACATAGGGAGAATGTGCAAACTCCACAAAGTCACCTGAGGGTGGAATCAAACCTGGTCCCTGGCATTGTGAGGCAACAGTGCTAATCACTGAGCCTCCATGCCATTGCGAAGGATTTCATACTAAAGGACTCCAGGAACAGAGAGAAAGAGAAGGAATATGGTGCTGAGATAGAGGATCAGTAATTATCGTGTTGAATGGTGGGCAGGCTCAATGGATCAAATGGCCTACTCTTGATCTTATTTTCTATGATTATATATTTTTTGGCTGTAAGTCATAATTATAACATGTTCTTTCCAAATTAACTATGTTCATCACCTGACCATTGTAGAACCTGCCTAATTTTCACTGCATTGAAATCAAAAATACATAAATGGTTTGGGATTCTACCAGATCTGTTCTGTTCATCAGGTTTATAGCCAAGTGCTGAAGGGGCAATCTAACCTTGTCCACTAAGCCTTTTTATTTCAATAACTTTAACAAGTAAAATGGTAAGAAGCAATAATATTTCATTATACTTTAAATCCTAAGTAATCAAAGACAGCTAAAATTTAGATATTTACAATTAAAGTATGACATATATTTGGAATGACAATGTCAGGATACGTTAATGAAGCCGCAGGGAAACCATATCAAGAAATATTCAGCCCAAATGACCGATTTGTCAAAATATTCGACACTGTTTCTTACCTGTATATGCTGCTTTCCTGTTTGCTGGTAACCGCTTTTAGATCAGTGAGCTCAAGAAAACGATCATGGAAATAATGAAGATGTAGTATACAGACCAGCAAGAAAGATGTTGGGATAAAAATGCTGGTAAATAGATCTGCAACAGAGAATTGTTCTAATCCAAGATCCTTCAACCTTTAATGAGAAGAATTATATAACATATATAATAATATAATGTATAAGGTTTTGAAAGTAACATGTTCAAATCATGTTCTGACCAAAATAAGCAGTTCTAACAAAAGTAATTGTTTCTAATGTAGAATGCAGAGCTGTTTTTCATTGCTGTACAGCAAAAATGTATATTTATTTGCTTATCATTGTGTATGTACACAGTAACAAGTTTCATTTTTTTATTATGTTTCAATTGAATCATAATCCAATGCATACTACATGTGAAACATATTCACTTTGGCATTTTGAATAGTAACAATTATTTCTGTTTACAGGTTTGTATCTTCTATTAACTTAATTCTCAGCATGTGGATATTCCTGGTAAGCTAACATTTGTTACTTGTTATAATTGTACTGAGAAATTGGGGCTACCTTTCTTATTCTTTGCAGTATTATTAAATATCATACCTAATGTTACGTACAGTTCCACTCAACTCAATAACTGTGCACTTATCTGAGCAATTATAATGTATTTCTGAAATTAAACAGCCATTTGAAATAAAATAAAACAATATTTTAGACTGTTGTATAAAATATCTTCTATTATACATTTTTGGTTACTCACTTTTCAATATCCATTCCTGTCATATTTTGCCATAGATCTGGGAATGACTTAAACTGATAGGTGTACACGAGGATCAAGACCAGCATAGTATAGGAAACAACGATAATCCAAAAATATTTCAGAATCCGCCGCCACCAATCATAATGCACCTGAAAAAAATGCCTCTATAAATACAAAATATCAAATAAAATTGGATTATAGAACATAGCTAATTATGATATGTAAATTCATTGTATCCCCTTACATCAGTCGCTAAAATAAATCTTAATTGCAGTGTAGAACAATCAAGTGGTACAACAGTTGTAATTTTGTGATGCTAGACTTCTCCTGGGTTATTACATTCACAAAGTAATAGTGAAAAATCAGGCTTACAAAGCTGCTATCCTAATCACGTTTTTTGATTGTATCTTCCTACTGGATTTGTTAAAGACAGAAATAATTCTTAGTAATTTGTATCTGCCTTTCATTAGCCAATTTGACGTAAAGTAATTGTATGATGGGCCTTGACCAAGATCTTTGTATCCTCACTAGCCACTGGACAGGTCCCAGAGGACTGGCAAATGGCTAATGTTGTTCATCTGTTCAAGAAGGGAAACAGTTGATAATCCAGGAAACTATAGACCAGTGAGTCTCACATTGGTGGTTGGAAAGCTATTGGAGAGAATTCACAGGAATAGGATTTACATGCCTTTGGAAAAGCATGGCCTAATTAGAGACAGTCAGCATGGCTTTGTGTGGGATAGGTCATGTCTTAGCGACTTGATTGAATTTTTTGAGGAAGAGATGACGGCAATCGATGAGGGTAGAGCAATCTATGTTGTCTACATGGATTTTGAAAGGCTTTTGAAAAGGTCCCTCATGGTGGGCTCATCCAGAAGATTAAGATGCATAGGATCCACAGTGACTTGGCCACTTGGATTCAGAATTAGCTTGGCCATACAAGCAGTGGCGGAAGAGTATTTTTCTGGCTGGAGGTCTGTGACTAGTGGTGTTCTGCAGAGATCCATACTGGGACCTCTGCTGTTTGTGATATATATAAATGACTTGGATAAAAATGTAAATGGTGTGTTTGTATTGTTTGCAAACTTACAAAGTTTGGTAGAATTATGCATAGTATAGAAGGTAGTCAAAAGATACAGTGGGATATAGATCAGTTGCAGATATGGCCGGAGAAATGACAGATGGAGTTTAATCCGGGTAAGTGTGAGGTGCTGCACTTTGGGAGAACAAATGTTAAGGAAAAGTGTATGGTTAATGGCAGGACGCTGAACATCATTGATGTACAGAGGGATCTTGGGGTTCAAGTCCATAGCTCCCTGAAAGTCGCCACACAATTAGATAGGGTCGTAAAGAAGGTATATGGCATGTTTGCCTTTAGTGGTCAGGGAACTAAGTACAAGAGTCAGGATGTCATGTTGCAGCTTTAAGAATTTGGTTAGGCCACACACTGAGTATTGTGTAGAATTCTGGTCACTAAATTACAAGAAGGATGTGGAAGCTTTGGAGAGGGTGCAGAAGAAGTTTACGAGGATGCTGCCTGGATTAGAGGGTATGAGCTATAAGGAAAGGCTAGAAAAACTTGTGTTGCTTTCTCTGGAGTGGCAAAGGCTGAGGGGAGACTTGATAGAAGTCGATAAAATTAAGAGATGCAGAGATAGGGTTGACGGTCAGAATCTTTTTCCCCCAGAGTTGAAACGTCAAATACTAGGGAGCATGCATTTAAGATGAGAGGAAGAAAGTTCAAAGGAGATATGAAGGGCAAGCTTTTTTTTACACGGAGTGGTAGGAGTCTGGAAATCGCTGCCAGGAGCAGTGATGGAGGCATGATAAGGGCATTTAAGGTTCTTTCAGATAAGCACATGAACATGCAAAGAATGGAGGGAAATGGATCAAGGGCTGGCAGATGGGATTAGTTTAATTTGGCGTCATATTCAGCCCAACATCGTGGGCTGAAGGGCTCATTCCTGTGCCGTACTGTTCTATGTTCTATGATGGTTTTTGCTATCACAGTATCCCAGCATATTGTTATTGATCCTTGCTGATTTTCTGTGGTCAAATTTTGCAACACTTTGCATGATGCTTATTTTGTGTTGCCTACCCATGCAGGTGGTGGGATGCAAGATAATGCCTCCTGAATGATAGGGTAGCACCTAGTACACGAATTAAGCTAAAACTTCTGAAAAAGATCTTAAAGAATATGATCACTTTTTAATTAATTTCATTCTCTGATGTTTTAAATTTTACTTCTACTGTCTACCAACTACAGCAAAGCAGGGCCCTGTGACAAACTACTTCCCCATTGCTATGGCTCGAAAATACATCAGAAAATAGAATTCAATCATTTGCATACCATTACATTATGGCTTTCCAAATATGTCATCCATATATCATGGAAGTAGCAATAGAAATTAAAAAACCAACAAAGTAGCTCCTAGGCATGCTTGTTCTTTTAGCTGATTGGTAAGTTGACATAAATTGAGTTTGGGTTGTAACTGTTTCGGCCTCCATGAGATTAATTTCTAGGAAAAATCTTTAAATCGTTGATTTACTGCCTTGCATCTTCATGACTAGGACAGAAGATACCAAAAGAAAGGAAATAACAATTTATACACAATGAGAAGATGGTATTGATTAGTTGCACCATAATTGGCATGAAGATGCAGCACGAACTGGTAATTGTCAATCATAGTTAGCAGATTAAATTCAAGCCATGCAGGTAGACTCTGAAAGATCAGGGCAGGGTCATGAGGGAATGATGCTTGTCTTATTATAATAGTCATTGAGTCACATAGCATAGAAACAAGGCTCTGCAGCCTACTATGTCCATACCAACCAACAAACATTAAACTACACTAATGCCATTTACCTGCACTTGGTCCATAGCTTACTATGATCTGGCATTTTAGTACCTAAGCAGAAGCTCCTTAAATGTTGTGAGAGCACCTGCCTACATCATCTGCTAAGGCAACATATTCCATATGTCTACCAACCTCTGGGAGAGGAAAAAAAATCCTCAGATCTCCTCTAAACCATTTACTCCTCACCTTAAACTTACACTTACTGGACTTAGACATGTCCGCAATGTGGAAGAGATTCTCACAATTTATTCTGTCTGTGCCTCTCACAATTTTGGAAACATCAATCAGATCCCCTTCAGCTTCCTCTTCTCCAAGAAAAATAAACCAAGCCTATCCAGTCCCTCCTCATAACTGAGGCTTTTCATCCCAGGCAACATCCCGGAGAATCACCTCTCCACTCTCCCCAGTGTAATCACATCCTTCCAATAGTGTGTGGCAACCAACTGTACACAGTATTCTGTCTATGGCCCAATGTTTCATAAAGTTATAACAAGATGTCCTTGTTCCCAGGCAAATGAAGGCAATATCCTATTGTATGCCTTCTTCAGCACCCTGTGCTGAAATCTTCAAGAATCTATGGACACGTACACCATAGTTCTTTTATTCCTAAGGAGCTATCATCGTACACTGTGTATATCCTTTATTAAATGCATCACCTCACAATTATTGGGATTAAATTCCATCTGCCTTTGCTCTGCCCAATTTACTAGCTCATCAACGTTAGACTGTAGCCTGAGATCATCCTCCACACTATCAACAACACCATCAATTTTCATATCATCTGCGAACTTACTAATTATATCCTTGAAATTAACGTACGTAACAAACACCATGGATCCCAGCACCAAACCCTTTGGTACACTGCGGGCCACAGGCTTCTAATTATAAAAACAATCCTCTACGATCATCTTTTGCCTTCTATTTGTAAGCTAATTTTGCAGCCAGTTTGTGAATTTGCCTTGGATCTTATGGGCTCTTACGTTTTGGACCAATCTTCCATGTGGGACCTTGTCAAAGGCCTTATCAATGTCCATGTATAACATGTCAACTGCACTACCCCTATCAATTTATTTAGTCATCTTTTCAAAAAAACTCAATTAAATAGTCAGACAGGATCTCCCTCAAACAAATCCATGCTGAATATCTCTGATCAGTTCCTGTAATTCCAAGTATGGATTAATCCTGTCCTTCAGAAATTTTTCCAATAATTTCACAACAACTGATGTCAGACTAACTAGGCTGTAATTACCTGGTTTATCTCTGCTGTGTTTCTTGAAAAAAGGAACCAAATTAGCTATCCTCCAGTCATCTGGCACTTCACTGGCGAAGTATTAAATACATCTGAGCCCTGGGGAGTTGGGCACCTGTATGCCCGCGAGAATATCTAATATCTCCTTCTTACTAATTTTAAAATGTTCTAAAACCTCACCATCCCAACTGAAATTCCCAGATACAATGTCTTTCTCCTCTGTGAATACAGATGAGAAGTATTCCTTTAAGACCTCATCCATGTGCAAATTGCCCCTTTGGGTCTCTGGTAGGTCCCACGCTTTCCCTGGTAATCCTTTTATTATTAATATACAAATAAAAAGCCTTTGGTTTTCCTTGATCTATCAAAGAAATTTTGTGACCCCTGTTATTCCTCCTAATTTCCTCTTTAAGCAACCTCCTACACTCTGTGCACTTTTGAAATGCCTCTCCTATTTTTAATGAGCTATAATAGATGCAATGTATGGACATATTTGCTTTTACACACAAACAGCAGGGTCTTGTGTGTGCATGTACGTAACTTCTAGCATATGCATATGAATTACACGGTCAGGTCAAATGATAATCTCAGATTAGTTTCCAGTATAATCCTTAGGACAGTCACAATTATGCATGAACCTTATCCAACAGCAGAATCACATCTAGTGTTAGTCATGATCTTCAGAGATTTGTTAGAGTAGGCCAGTTGAGTGCAGTCAGCACTCTGCCTGCTGCAGCCAAAGAGGCATATTGTTTGATACAAATCACCAGACATTGGGACATTAGGCTTGCATACAGAGCATCACTTCAGCAATGAAACTCATATGCCATATTATTCCTTCATGTGGTAGGCAAAATGTCATTTTGGCTTGATGGTACCATGGTGAAGAATGTGTTCAAATAATGTCAGAACTGTGCTTATTTTTATATCTTAAACTGAGACTGCAGGGATAAAGAACTGCTCTTAAAATCAGGAATTTGCCACAATGGCTGCAAAATTTCACAGCAAGGAATCCAATGCTTGTTGTGAACTTATTTTTTAA